TTGTCTTGTCTTGCTTTGTCTTGTCTTGTCTTGCTTTGTCTTGTCTGTCTTGTCTTGTCTTGTCTTGTCTTGTCTTGTCTTGTCTTGTCTTGTCTTGTCTTGTCTTGTCTTGTCTTGTCTTGTCTTGTCTTGTCTTGTCTTGTCTTATCTTGTCTTGTCTTGTCTTGTCTTGTCTTGTCTTGTCTTGTCTTGTTTTGTCTTGTCTTGTCTTGTCTTCCTTTTCTTTTCTTTTTTTCTTTTCTTGATCAAATGCTAATTATATGCTAAAAACGTTTTCAGGGTTGCCCAAAAGTTGTCCATGATTTGATGTTGTCTTGCTGGGAGAAAGACCGTGGAAAAAGGCGACGGTTTCGTGAGTTGCGTAGCATCATTGATAACTGGCTGGAGTCTCCTGAACTTCTTACACAGGAAGCCTCTGTTGTCACAAAGCGGTAAGCATTATTTCCTTATAGATACATTATAATAGTCTCTCAATCTGCTTAGTGCACTCGTTGCCAGAACTTGGCCAAAATGTATTCGGTGCATCGATTTTCTTTCTTTAGCCGTTTTGGATTGAGCTTTTGTCCTGGAATCGTTCCAGTTCAGGACCTGGTTGTGACCAACCTTTATAATTTTGATGATCTGTTTTCACATTTTGTGAAAATCAGTTTAATCAAAAGCTGCTTCGTACCAGATTCTTAGAGCAAAGAAAATTATGCTTTTTGATTCGAATGCGATTTGAGTCCAAAAATAGTGAAAAGGCATAAAAGTATTTTTTTAGAATTTTTTAAAACTTTGATTGCATAAATTATAAACTAAGGCCACTTCTACTCGGATTCTTTTTCAAAAGATTCCGGTTTCAACTATCTAAAAATGACGCTTTTGACTTTAGACTTTTTTGCGTTCTCACAGAAGCATTTTCTTTTGGAAAACTTTTTTCAGGTCATTTTCTAAACGTTCCACTTTGGAAGCCATTGTCAATTTTTTTAGCTTTTTAATTAAAGTATTATTGTTGCCAATGATTGCATTTCATTTGAAAAGTAGGGAAGACCCATCGAATGCCTCTAAAATTTGCGAAATTCTGTTAATAAATTGGCTGAATTATGGCCAGTGAAAGATCTTAAATTTGCTAATGGTTTACTGCTGCTTTTGTTTGGTTCAAAATTTTTAGAACTTAGAGCAAATAACAGAAACTTAATAAGGAAGTACCCTGTACATATTTGCTCATTTTCTATAATTTCAGCTGGAATGTACAAGCAGGACTTTAATTACATTATATGTCAAATCAAAACAAATTATTGAAATATATTAGTTCATTTTGTAGGGACGAGGATCTGGATTACGCCTCGATGACCACTTTGAAGGAATGGCTCGACTCCATAAATATGGGTCAGTATGTAGAAAACTTTACTAAAAAGGGTTTTGTAACACCGCGCCAGATTTTGGAATTCACTGATGCCAAACTAATGGAAATTGGTATATTTGCTATTGGCCATCGGAGGAAGATTACGAAGAGCATCAGGGTAACAAAAAGACAGTTAGGTGATGAATTTTAAGCCACAGCGCGTTCGGTTTTGCTCTTGAATCGGTATTCATTTCACCCTTCTTGTTTGATTCGAGATAATCACGAATCAAAGTAAGCTGACTTGTATCTTTGCAAGAACGTAAATGAAGAATAGTATCCTGCCAGGTTCTTTGTTCGAACAATGTTGACAGGCCCACTTTATGATTGTTTCATCTTTGAAAGTTTTTGGTTTTTGGAAAGTTTGACAGATGTTGAAACTTTCGTGCTGCACAAACTCGCGTACCAAGTATATGAACAAAATTTGTATAGAAATTATTTTTATTTAGCCGTTTTTTTGTAAGCAGAGCTACACAAGATCTATGCAGATATGATTACAACTTCGTTGTTATTAAGATGCCGTGACAGTTAAAGCCTACGTTTTGCTCTCTTTCACGTTACGTTTCCAAACAAAGCAAAGATTATGGGGTCCTAAATTGCCTATAAATGCCTAATACTGGAATTATAAGGCGGTATAATGATAATACGGAAAATAACACGGGTGACAACGGTTACCTTTCTAAGATGATTATTGTGCCTTCGTAATTTGCCGTGCATCGCATAGCTTGATTCTCGTAAAAATGAACTGAGTAGCAGTTGATGAAGTTTGGACTTAGATTGAAGTTGCGAACTTTTTTAACTTTAAAGGGAAACTTCTATAAGTACTTCATTGAAAAGAGTATGACGTAGTAGTAATACGACCTGTACATGTGAACTGTGCTAGAGGGAAATTCGCTTTATGTCCCGCAGGATGGTGATGTAGGGTGACCAGTTCTTCCCCGTGTCGGCTTTTGCTTCCACAGCGTGGCTGCTGAGCTTCAGAAGGCGAGCGTCGAAGTCATCGGCCAGACTTAAGCACTACAGTCTGGTGCTCTAACCAGTAGACCACCTTTAGTTATCAAAAGACTGTATTTAATTTGGTCCTCAGAAATAAATGACCAGTCTATCAAGCTGTGATAACTACTTGTATAACATCTTCTAAATTATCCATTGTAATGTTATACCCTTCAAAACACCCTCCCCCCCCATACGCGGCAAACTAAGTCCGCCGCAAACGAAAGCCTGTTCCCGGTTACTTTCGCCCAATGGAGATTGGCCTTTAGAAAGCGACATATTGCGCAGCAAACGACGTCCGCCGCAAACGAAAGCCTGTTCCCGGCTACGTTCGCCCAATGGAGATTGGCCTTTAGAAAGCGACATATTTCGCAGCAAACAACGTCCGCCGCAAACGAAAGCCTGTTCCCGGTTACTTTCGCCCAATGGAGATTGGCCTTTAGAAAGCGACATATTGCGCAGCAAACGACGTCCGCCGCAAACGAAAGCCTGTTCCCGGCTACGTTCGCCCAATGGAGATTGGCCTTTAGAAAGCGACATATTTCGCAGCAAACGACGTCCGCCGCAAACGAAAGCCTGTTCCCGGTTACTTTGAATATCGTATTTGAATTGAGAAATACAGCCTGCACCGAATGTAACAATAACATTCAGAAAGGCAAGCTATTAGGGGGGGGGGGGGGGAGTTTATTGTTTGTGGCGATTGCCAGAGGTTCTTTCTCCGATAAAGTCTTGATGTTTTGAGGTGGGACTATCCTTTCTCTGTAATCAATTCTTCATTTCTTGTTTATAGTGCTGTCTTGTATTCTTAAAATGTTTTTGTATAGTAAAGTTCGCTCAATTTGCATTTAGTCTTTTATGCCCAAAATCATCGCTGCAATTTTATGCTGCTATTTTTATCTTAATGATCACTAGTGAAACATTTACCGTAAAAGGTCTCTTAAGCCCCTTCTCTTTTAAGCCCTCCCTGCTCTATTAAGCCCCCCTCTTAAGCCCTCCTCTTAAGCCCCCCTCTTAAGCCCCCGATATCAAACCAAGAAAAAATGTGCATTGAGTGGGTCTCTTGACGGGCGTGGTGACGAATATTTACTTGTGCGCTTTAGAAGACAGTCGAAATTTGTTTAGAAGAAGTCCCAAGGGATATCAATTGGTCCTGGTGACTCTGAGGAAGATGAGGACATTATAATTGATTGATTTTAAGAAACTTTCTAAGCTACTAGCAAAGTTTTTGAGAGCATTTGTATGACATTTTTATATGAAGATGCATAAAGGCATTTTTATAGCATTTTTTACATTGATTTATTAATAAGTCCCCTTCTCTCATAAGCCCCCCTCTAGGACTGAAAAAGCCACCAGGGGGCTTAAAAGAGCTTTTACGGTAGCTAAATGTGATATTCTTGATATTGTTTTTAGTTTCTTACCTACATCAGGTGCCTATACAAGTCTGTTCCCTTTGAAACAAGGGTGCATTTTATTTTGATAGTGTTGAGACCTACGTTTTCAAGTATCCAGTTCATCGCTATGTTATATCGAATAATATTTTAAAGAGCTCTTTCAATATTTAGACCCTTAAAGTACCCAGTTTTCATTTTTCAATTTGCCAAGTTCAAGGAACTGCATGTAGGTAACTTCCAGTAAAGTATTATTGAAAATACCACCAACTTTTTTATATTCAGCGTTACCAGTTCCGTTAGTTTGTATTGTTTATATTAGAACGTTTAAGATCTTATTTTAAAGTCGTCTATCTATGCTTAGTTAGCCATGTAAAATATCATGAAATATTGCAACGAAATATTGCCATGAAATATTGCGATGGACATTGCCTCACACGTCTATGGTCAAGAACTGGCAACTGTTAAATGGTGAAAAGTTGGCCGAAAGATGAAAATTCTGTTTCAGGGAGCTGAAACGTCTGAAACAAAGGTCACTTGTTAGAAAAAGCGTCGGAACTATTTCCATTTAGGTTCCACTGACTTGTGGTGACAAGATATGACACTTGGAATATTACCTACGGAGACTTGTAAGTATAATTTACTACGGAGACGATGCTCTACTGCGTGCGATAGCGTCGTTTATATCCCCTGACCCAACATCACCAATTGCTTAATCTTATTGTAAAAAGCTGGTAATCGCGTTTTCAACATTAAACGACATGTGCTTTTGCTTTGACGCATGCGCAACACGTTTCAATACAGCCCGGCAAGCAGGCTACAGTGTTTACATGGGAAAATTTCTATCTCGCGTAACGAGATCTGAGCAGATGTGTGGCGATATCTTTCTTACCGGGCTGGCCTGCTTGCTCATATAAAAGAGATCGAATTTTCCAACTTAAAAATAAGCCAAGATCTCGCGAAGGGGGTCAGCTCGCTTAACTGGCTCTAAACAAGCCCCCAATTCCTCGGCTCCTGCTTCAGTGCTCCCATTTAATTTCAGAAGTATAGCATGATGCGAGCGTCTCTTTCGGGTTATGGGACATATCAACAGGGGTGGCGCTAGAGACAAACCTTCAAGGTGCCGAAGTTTATATTCTCCGTAACTGCCGACGCTGGATGTGTCAAATTGCCGACAGAAAAAAAATTCGATTTTCCCCATATAGCAGGCAGGGCCGTCCCGAGGCAAGCCTCGTTGGGGGGGGGGGGTGTGTGTGAAATACAAATTTACCGGATTAAAAAATTATTGCCTGAAACTTTCTAGCTGGTGTCACCGACTTTCATTATAAACCAGCCAGTGCAGTTTTCTCCTCGATTATTTATGTCATTCAAACAACATGTAAACCGGGTGACATCCATCAAGTGCCGACGATATTGAGAAAGCAAAAATTGATTGGCTGCCGACGTGGGGGCTAACAAAAATCTAGGGGGGCTAAAGCCCCCCCTTGCCCCCCCATGCCGCCACTCCTGCATATCAAAGACATAGCTTGATTTAACGTAGTTGACCTCTACAAAGAAGAATTAAGTCATAAACATCACAGCATCATTAGAGTCGTGGAATTTATTACGATTTAAAAAGGGCGCTATTTCCCTGCCATTTCTCTACTATTATCCAGCATGGCTGCTACGAATCTAAATTTTTCCCTGGCTATGTAGATTTTCTAGAAGGCAAAGGCGCCGCAAAAATGCGATAAATGTACGAAGAAAGAAAATATTTTGGATTGGCAATATTCTCAAAAGGAGATCTGAGCAAGGTTGTTTTTTTCAGACTTGTTTCGAAGATCGAGAATATTTTAACAGGTAGGCCCTAAGAAGACTTTTCATACAAGTAGTTAGATTTCACGACAACAACAGATGGATCCATCTTGCATAAAATTGATTCAACAAGAGATGGATCCATCTTGCATAAAAACTTGAACTTAGTGCTAAGGCCAAAAGGAAAAGGGACAGGTGTGTGCTGCCTTTGACTGGATTTCCAGGATTTTAGTCACTTAATTCACCAAAAAAAGGAAAATTCGGTCGTAAGGATCGTAATGATTAAAACGTTTTTCATCTTTAAGATCCTCATGACGCGCGTTCTAAAAGATAAAATCGAGTGTTGATCATTTAACGATTATGATTCCTGATGTTTTAGCTTGATCGTAAGCGTAAAAAATTATGTTTCTTACGATCCTCAGGCTTCTTAAGGCTCTAATGAAAACCAGTCTTAGAAAGTTGGATTGATCTTGGTTGGGTTTTAAAGTTGCATATTGGAAAAGAAATGTTGCTTTGCCTTTAAAGAAAGAACTTTAAAATCTTCCATTTTACAAAATCCAGTTTCCTTGAACTTCAATGATTTCTAACATAAAGGACGGAACAAATATAGAAACCGAGCTAAATCGAAATGCAACAAATATTGGATGATGACAAAAAGCGGCTTTGTTTAAACCTAAATGTTAACTGAAGCATACAAACAGGTAACGTATGGTTTTATTGAATGTTGCTATCCAAACACACAGAATGTTGAGTAGGACGATTTTAAAGCGGTCTTTATGCAAACATTTTTACTGACAAATGGCATATAATCACCGTTTTGCAACAAAACTTAGCCTGAATTTTGTGTTTTTTGGCTGAGAGTTGCTGGGTAATGCCTATTCTGTATCTAGGACCATATTCCTAGAACGTCGGTTTGCAAGCCTACTTGTTGTTTACACAACTCACTGCTCCATGGCATACGCGGGATGACAGCGACTTATGTATGGTGACAGGTGTGGGATAACAAATTGTAGGGGATTTGGAGCGATTTCAAAGCCTCACTTTTCAAGAGAAAAAAACATGTTCTAACATTTTTTAAATACAATAATTCAATTTGCATACTCTCAAGATCCTTCTAAAAGTAGGGCTAAGTGAAACAAATACATATAACCCTCCATTCGTCTTCGAAAGTAGCACAGTCAAGCAAAGCAACACAGCACACTAGAGAACGTTTCGCTATTCACTCCTCAGAGTTTACACCTCGGGTAATGACTTAAGGTAAGCAGGAACCTTTATCAAGATGCAGATCGAAAGTAGCGTGAAAGAGAGACGACTTGTTACTTAGTTGAAGAGTCATATAGAAAAAAAAAGATGGAAACTCTTTCTGTCTAGACAAGTCTGGATCGTCTGTTTTGAAGCGAACAATTTTCAAGACAAGTAAAATAAAAAGACAATCTTGCTTGTTCAATTATTTATTGTCAATACACGATTTGGCGCATCCTGGATTTTTGAGTTAATGTTGACCCCTGATTTGGCCAAATTGCATTTGATTTAGGCACTCTGATTTTTGCAAATAGGCCGTGGCTGTCCTCTCTTTTGAACACTTTTATGCTTGCGGGAACATGCTGTTTTATTATATCGACTAATCGCTGACTACTGCATCCTACATAGATAGCTTCACATCTGCACGAAACTTCATAAAAAACTATACTTTTTGAGTTGACGGGAATTTAATTCTTTGGAGTGGAGAACACTTTGATATAGCCTTTTTATTGTCTTTCAAAGTTTGCTGAGCCGTTCCAAAATTTCTTAAATATAAAGGACACGTTTTGCATCTTTTTTCCTGCCGAGAAATCACAATTTGTCCTCTAAAAAAGCAGAATAGCACCACGTAAATGTGCGTGGTATATACGACTAATAAAAGGTGCAATGAACAAAGTAGCTGTGACACCGTTTGTTGGTACTTATTTCCCTAGAGATCTGATACAAGCATGTTACAAGCATGCAGATAGTTTAAATGTACAGTTATCCAGTTTACTACTAAGTTAACTTGCAAAATTACCTAGAGTATCAAATCCATTGAAATATCGTCAAGTTGATCATCAGTACCTTTGTTTGTAAGACCACGTGTTGGATGGGCAGGGGAATTCACATCGTGAGTGATCACAATGATGCAATTCCCAAACCTTCTTGTACATTTTCTACCCCAGCCAACAAAATGCTTGGCTAGGCCTTCAACGCGTGGCCGTTCTCGTTATATGCTGCGAGTATGTAAACGTTTGAGGCTCACTGGACGGTCCTTAAAAGGAGTGAAGCTGGCAAATTGCTTAACAAATTAGTTTAACATTCTAGAAAGCCCCCTTACTTGGGTGTATTCTGTCTGTCTATGAACTAAGCCAGCTTAAACTTGAAGTTTTTTTCATTCAAAATGGAAAACAGTTTAGATGTATTTTCAAATACCAATGAAGTGGGATAAATTAAAGTAGGATTGTTTCAAAAGCTATCGACAAACTGTGCAGCAAGGGTGAGTTTGTTCAATTTTATCATCGTTAATCACAATTTCACTAACATTTAACAATCATGCTGAGCATCGAAAACACTTAATTGCAAGCAGACCTTTTCCCAGTGTATCTGGTCATAGGAGAAATTTCGCCCTAAATATTGCTATTAATATCAGTGAGGTTTTTCGAGACAATAAGAGACTCTAAATTATTTAACATCGTTTCGAAGATGACTAAATCATTCTTTTTTAAAGAGCTATTCATGTTTGGTTCAAGATCATTTAACAATTTTGCTAATTTTGCTCGATCTAACTGTTGCCAAAGAGACGAAGTGTTTCAAGGTACGAATATTGCACGAGATAAAATGATGCGGAAGTGGCTGTCCTCCTAGCCGCCTCCCATTGCCGGATGCGTTTTGGTACCCTATGCAAAAGTGTAACATTGTTAAACGCAATGTGTTTCAAATCATGCGATTTCATCGTAGTAATGTTTGGTGCTATCACACATTATGAGTTACAAATGGAACACAATACTTCTTGATGTAAAAAGTTTACATTAATGTTGTATGTACTTTCTTTGCGTAAACTTAACAAGAGAAGCCACAGCATCGCTGAATATGGACCAGAACATTTGTGTACCCGGATCGTTTTGTATGCTAAATTCAATTCAACCTATTGTTTAAAGGCTTTGGTACATTTTTGCAGAAACAAAATTACCATGCATTTGTTGGTTCCCTATTGTTTAAAGGCTTTGGTACGTTTCTGCATAAACAAAATTGTCATGCGTTTGTTGGTTCCCTATTGTTTAATGGCTTTTGTACGTTTCTGCATAAACAAAATTACCATGCGTTTGTTGGTTCCCTATTGTTTAAAGGCTTTGGTACGTTTCTGCATAAACAAAATTGTCATGCGTTTGTTGGTTCCCTATTGTTTAATGGCTTTTGTACGTTTCTGCATAAACAAAATTACCATGCGTTTGTTGGTTCCCTATTGTTTAAAGGCTTTGGTACGTTTCTGCATAAACAAAATTGTCATGCGTTTGTTGGTTCCCTATTGTTTAATGGCTTTTGTACGTTTCTGCATAAACAAAATTACCATGCGTTTGTTGGTTCCCTATTGTTTAAAGGCTTTGGTACGTTTCTGCATAAACAAAATTGTCATGCGTTTGTTGGTTCCCTATTGTTTAATGGCTTTTGTACGTTTCTGCATAAACAAAATTACCATGCGTTTGTTGGTTCCCTATTGTTTAAAGGCTTTGGTACGTTTCTGCATAAACATAATTGTCATGCGTTTTTGTACCCGGATCGTTTTGCATAACGTTAGCGAAACGTATGACACCGACACCCAAATTTTTACAACAGGAACAAATTAAGCGGCTCGACAAAGTCGTTGGATTTCGTTTTTGAAGCATTGGTCACGATTCTCGCGTACGTTCATTTAGGAGAATGCTTAAAGTGAAGACCACGATCATTGCCAGGTGCAAGGGACATATTTTTTTCTCATAAGACCGATTTCAAAGTGAATATTATGAAATAGATTAGGTATACACCAATTCGACTTACGACCTCGTTCTGGAAATTTCTCCAAACTTAATTTTACGACTTTTTTAAGCCCAGATTTCGTTTTATCGTCATAATTTTAGGCAAGATACCATTTTCCATATTGTTTGAGCTAGTATTTTAGATTTTACCGAGAAATGAAGTTTGAAAACTTGTAAGGGATTTGACCGCAAAAATCGTTCCGGGGGAAACTTTACCCCCCTAGTCGCCAATACGGTCAAATCCCTTATAACATTTTTGTCTTTATGTCGTCATAAAATCAATATCGTGAGCAATATCACAATGAAAACTTCCAAGCATACTAAAATCATTGCTGTCAATCCGAATCTGATGTCAAAAATTTTGTACAAAAGAATTTGAAGAATTTTTCAAAATGAGGCCGTAAGTCGAATTAGTGTATTAACAAGAAAAATAATAACAAGCATTAGGTGCAGTAAGTCACAAATTTCGTTCTGTTTCCTGGAAACACTAAATTGCATTCTAGAATTAATAAAAAGTATTCCGTCCTTTTTAATCTCTCATATAAATCTTTAAAAAGTGGATGAACATTGCGGGAATTTCTAGAGATGTAGAGCCTGGTACTCGTGCTAATATTTCTTAAGTGACACATTCCAGTCTGCCAATTGTGAAAGCTCCATATTCACTGCTACTTCCTGTATCTCCTAGCCTCACTTCAGTGATAGGAAGTCTACTTTTATCCGTGACGTAGCCCTCATCAAAGCGCATCACATTGTCATTAGCGTCACAATTGCAGAGAGTTCCAGCTTTTGCGCATGTACCAGTTATGCCACACTTGCAACCTGAAAGCAAGAGAAACAGTACTAGCTTTAAAAAGTTTGTTTAATAGATAGTACCGTACCACACAACTCAACGAAGTACTATCACCATCTAAACCCCAAAAAACGCAACGTGTTGGTGGCTGTTTCTTCAATATGTACTGAGGCAATGCCAGCAAAAAGACAATATTACAAAAGACCGCGACTTTGTTTTGAATAAAGAACGACTATTTTCCATAAAGGTTTATTTTAGATCAACTTTCAAATCATTTGGAGGGTCTGACATCCACATCCACCTACATCCCTGTATTTTTTGTATAAGGTGAAGGAAAACACAAATTGATATAGTAAAAGTATGTCTTTCTGCATCGGACTTGAATATTGTTGCCACGTTTCGAGCAAATCTCTTCATCCTTATTATTCATGCGACATACAACAAGCTAAATTACATTAATATTCAGAAAGGTCAATTTAATGTATCGGCCAGTTCAGTGTAGAAAGATTCTCAAAACTGCACCAGAGCGTGTGCCACCGATCCTAAACATAAGGGGTCAGAAATGTAAAGAGAGTTTCCTCTAACCGCTCTAGCCCCAAAAGTGGCAAGCACTTTGCTGACGCTGTTTTACTTGTGTACTTTAATTCATTGTATTTGTTGTAATCTAAAGGTTTATATATATAAAAATTCAAGCTCCTTCTATTCTTTTATTCAGTGAAAAGTTGGGCCCTGTGCACTGCTTGGGCGGTTAGTTGTTAGAAGCAGGGGATTTTGCAGAACCATTTAAAACCCTGCCTTATAAAATTTTCAAGCTTTAACACATAAAAGTAAAGATTGCTGACCATTTTAAGCCTTGGGAACATTCTAGCAAATAAGCGGGATTAACGTTGCTGGAACCGTAAAAGTGGACGGTCAGAAAAACTCCCATTCTTCAAATTATACCGTCGGAAAGAGCATGCAAGACTGAGAAATGAAACAATAATGAACATGTATATATAATGAAACAATAATATAATCTGACCTATATGCAAGATGTAATGTATGATGAAACTTTTTGTTTTGTTAAACAATTTGTTTCTTAAGTTTATCAAGCATCTTAGTTGTGCATTTTATGATACAAGCATAAAGTAATTAGAGTCCCAATCCTTCTCTAAAATTGGATCAAGAGAATTGAGGTGAGGGATTATCAGATGTTTAAACGGCACAATTTTGCAATTTTGCCATCGCAATTCCGACCTTAGTACTGGCCCTCTTTGTTGCTATTCAATGAGCAACAAATGGATCGAGAAAATAAAATGTGGCGATATTGAATCATTTTATAAAAATCAACTGTCGGTGTACATTATAAGTGCATTATTATGGGTGTACATAAAAATGGGTGTAAATTTTTGCCATCTTTGTAAAGTATAAGTACTTTCGTTATGGCTCGCCTAAAATAGACATGCCAAGCGATTCACAGTTTTACTGGCAAAAAACAAATGCAAGGTCTTATTTAGCACATCAGAGGAAATCAGAAAATAATCTTCAATAGAAACTTTCGTAATGAATCTCTTTGCTTCAGATATTTGCCATCTTTACTTTTCCTTTACTTTTATATATTAAAGATAGAAAAACAAAAGCGATATAGTAGGCAGGCGATGAAAATACTTTTAGATTCCACAAACCTCGTCCATCTACTGGGCCACCTCCAATGTAGTCCATTCGCTGTCCATTCCTATCCACCAGGAAACCATAGAATATGCCACCGTACAGCGCCATTCCATGGCATTCAATTCTGAAAAACTGTCTGCAACTTTTAGATGCGTCAACAACGTTTTTGATGTTGTGTAGTTTTGTTTTGTACACTATTTTGTGCCTAAAAAACAATCAACTATTTATTACATATTCCAATTGAGCATGATCTAGAGGCCTCTATTCAAACTAATATGGACATAAACTGCCCCTCCCCTGGATTTTCCTAGGTCTCGCATCTTTAATGAGAAATAATGGTCGCACATTGGGCTTGGTGCTCTTCTCTTACAAAGCACCGATTTTTCTGTTTCCTTTGCATCGTGATATCCCTGGTGACTGGTGCCCGGCTGCTATGATATTTCCCGAATTCTTCTTTCTGTAGATCGCAAAACTTTCAGAATGTCCAATGAAAAGTGAGTAACTTGACTTTCTACAAAAATTTCATATCAAAATTGATGCCAATATCTCAAAGTTTTATTTTGTTGGCTTACAGGTAACTAATAGCTTCACAAAAGTAGTTTAATCTACAACAGCCATGCTTAAAATAAGGCTGCTACAATGACTCATTTCTCAAAACCATTCAATATGTGTCAAGTATTTAGGTTGTCCACTAGGTGTCTTCTTAAGTTTTTTGTTCGCATAAGAGTGATATATTTTCTAGCGCTTGATGTCCTTGCAAAAAATACGCACTTTGTTAGTTTTCATGTTTTTTGTCAAATTTTCCTGTAACTTTTGAATCTGGTCTCGTTCTCATTTCCAAACTTAGTCCAAAGTGAAATTTTTTTCTTAGCCTCGTCTTTTAATATCCAGCCATTCCATTTTCTAGACATAGCCATGTAGGCCTAAAAAGGGGGACCAACATGTGTAAACGCTGTAATTTTGTGCCAAAAGCCGATATTCTGAAGTGTCACTAGAAATGTCCATATTTTCTTTGCACAAGATATCTGCAGTGCAGGCCAACTATAATGAAACTTCCAATAAGAATCTCTCTTCGCGAAAAATTTGGCGCGGTCTCAAGGAAAGATGCTTTTCTTTTAGAATACTCATTCGTAAGATTCAATTCGGCATCTATTCATTACCTGCTTCAGATTTTAAGTTTGTTTTGACACCAGTTATCTTTAAATATATTATTGATGTTTGTTGCAACTGAAGCATGATTGTGCAATGATGCATTCAAATGTAGATTTCATACAAAGCAATCAAACATAGTCAACAGCTCAAAAGCTTCACGAAAGACAATAATATAATGATTGAATAAATTAAGTACCAAAATTAAACAAATTAAGTTGTGATTGTTAAAAACACGACGCTTCGAGCATGTATTCATTATCAACTGGCTAGAAAAAACGACCTATCAATCCTTTTGGTCACCTGTCAATCCTTTTGGCCTTCCCGTCATCTGGCCTTCCATTCATCTGGCCTTCTACCCATTTACCCATCCACCCTTCTACCTTGCCACCTATTAACCCTCTCTGCCTTTCCATTCTGCCTTTCCATTTACCTTTCCACCCTTCTGCTCTTCCACCCTTCTGCTCTTCCACCCTTCTGCTCTTCCACCCTTCTGCTCTTCCACCCTTCTGCTCTTCCACCCTTTTGCTCTTCCACCCTTCTGCTCTTCCACCCTTCTGCTCTTCCACCCTTCTGCTCTTCCACCCTTCTGCTCTTCCACCCTCCCAACCTTCTGCCCTTTCAGTCATCCACTCTTCTGCCTCTCAACCCATCCACCCTTCGCCCTTCCTTTCCACCTTTCTCATACATGCACATTTTCTTTTCGCGTCTTCAATTTTCATGATGCTCATTAATCCGGTAAGGATATTGCTGCTACCCACTTCATGTTGTTCTTTTCATTTTCGATATTACTATTTTTATGCTCATCAAATAAGTGCATTGGTTAATATGAAAAATCATATATATACCTGCATATCTAAAGCAGAAGTAGCAACAATTACACAGAAAATAAATATCTGATGAAGCATCTGGCCGTGTTAAAGGACCTAAAAAAATTGGTTTTGTTACAGCTGTCGACGCTGCAAAAGAGAAACAACATTTGCTTGGCTGTGACTTTAAAAAGTTTGCACAAAAGCAAACCAAAAATATCAATCTGGACGCTGGGGAAGGGGCTCACCGGGGGTTCAATCGCCCTTGTTGCCTTTTGATAGGAGAGGCAAGGGGCCAAAGTGCCCCTTTCATTAAAGTGCCCTTGTAACCGGCCATTTGTAATGATCAAAGAGATTCATATGAAATTCTAATTTTAGTGCCTAATTCAGTTTTCAAAACTTGTAAAAAAGTCCTTATGCCAAAAGATAGCCAATGCTCAAGAAACCTACAGAAGGTCGAAATAAAATGGCTGTGAATTATCTTTTAAATGCCTTGCTACTCAAGCCTACCCCCTTGCCCCTTGGTCGTTCCGGCGTCCCTGATATCAACACGTAAACATACTTACTGATAAGAAGCAGGACCTTCGTATCCATTGACAAATATCTTCATTTCACTATCGTGATCAAACACTTCATAGACTGATCCATTTTCTTTCATACAATTTTTTTCCACGGGATGTCCCATTTTGTCAAAATGTACCAAAAAGATACCATCTTGGCTGTTTTGCTGTTTCATGGCATCGCTGCACGATCTGAACGCAACTGAAGTTAAATTTTTTCATTATTTTCTGAGATCAAAATCATCAGTTAAAAAGCCTTAGAAATTGGCTATTTGATGTTATGATTATCATCACTGAGTTATATCGTGGGTCCGTTCATCGTATTCTTTATACACGCAACAGCCTTTCTAGTCGTCGCACGTTTTTGCTACGCAATCAAATATTTCATTTAACTGGTAGTCTAATATACAAGTTATTTAGAAGACCAGTAAAAGTCTTCTCTTTCTAGATAATTATAAAGATATACGAATTGCTGAAAATACTGCATTGTACATAAAATCTTTGAAGAATGACTACAATTTCTATCATTCAAGACCAGAGTTAATAATCAAATGAATAAAGTTGCACTTTTCAGACGAAATTCATAAGCACTCCATCATGCCATAAGCAAAGAGAAAACTTCAGCGACATCGATCATAATTCGAGCGTAAGACTGTTGAAAAATGTTTGGCTTTAGGTATTCATTGTTTTGGTTTTTGTAACAAATTCAATTCCTAAGAGCCATAGACTTGAACAACTATCTGAACTACAAAATTAACTTTTTGTGCATTTTAGGAAAATGCCAACATTGTATCATAAATTAAAGGACTTTCTATGAAATGTTTCAACGGTAAAAATTTTTGTTTCCGTTCCTATGACATGTTACAATGTAGTTTTGTTTCCCGGTTACAAATCAAGTAAGGAATAGAATTTATCTTGTCAAAACAAATCTGGATTAATGCTTTGAACATCCTCTAACACTTCGTACTCTAAGAAAGTGTATTATTTAAGTTTTTACGATAGTGTTATACGGGGCAAATTCCATGCAGCTAGGTTCGCAAATAAAATTGAAGAAATTGTAGGGAAAGAGTGTCATTACGCTACAATAATTGCAAAGTCACTTGCAATGGTTGAAGAAATTAGAAGTGAGAAGAAATTTTTTATGAGAATAAACTAAAAGCAGTTTAAATTTGTTTTTATAATGTACGCAATAGACCCACTTACAGATTGATAATTCGCAGTCGTCAGCATGATTAGCAGCCTTCGCAGGTTTTTAGCAAACGTAACGCTAACTATAAACCTTTATTGTGTAATGTGACATTCGAGAGAATAAATACCTTTCTTCCAATCTGATTTTCCTGTGCCAACTTCACTCCCGTATCCACTTGGATTAACATTTCTACAGTTCGGGTTTAGATCACAGGCGAAAAAAGACTCGTCTATGTTTAGGGAATCAAGCGAGCCATCTTCTGCTGGTTTTTCCGAAACATTGAGATAGTAGAAAGAATCCCCAAGTGCAAAGGCAATCAAAATGAAAACTGAAAAAGTATACAATACTGCGTTTTCGTCCATTTTAGCAAGCAAACCTCCTCACGATACTTGCTTCAATGCTTATGGCATCAATAGTTTGCCTTTACCTGTATTATTTATTACCTTTTTTCCAGACATAATCAATTATTTAAAAGAAATTTTTAAATTAATTTCAACTTTGAAAGAGTGCATCCCCCACTGCATATACTTGCGCCAACAAATGTTGCCCGTGGGAAACTCAGAGCAAAGACAATTGTTTGTGGTGTCAGTGGTTTCTTAATGCAACTCTGTGGGATGTTCTTAAAGAAACAAAAAATGTTATTGATGATTTTGACCTGATTTTGAAACCGATTCCGACCACTGCTCAAAGTTGATGTGATATTTTGAATAAATTCATTGTCACCATTGTCCTTTTAATCTCCCCGGTACTGTTGAAAAATTCTATTACATGGACAGTCTTTTCATCATATATTCAACAGATAAAATTTCTAAATTTTCTTTTGTTGATTACATATGATCAAGACAAAACTCTGTCATTTTATCTTCAAATTTATTGTTGATAAATATTTCGAATTCTTATTTTGGTGCCAAAGCTGAAATTCAAGTTAGAAAAATTGCTTAAAAAATCTTCCTCACCTTTTGACATATAATTTAAAAATGTCAAAATCCCATACGACTGTTTGCTCGTTCATTCAAGCAAGCAACCTCTTAACCAAAATTACCGAAATGATTATGAGATTGTGGCTTGCATCTACCTGCATTTTTTACATATGATAAATTATTTGAATAAATTTGTAGTTTTGAATTAATTTCAATGTTCAAAGAATTAATCCTTTGCGGCATTTACTTGCAACCACACATGTTTCCCGAGTAAGATACAAGGGAAGGGTTTGCTGCGAATCCCTTTTGGAAACGATAGATTCCCAAGAAATGAAGTCTGTGGGCAGAAATGCTTATCCCACATTACCAAATTACAGCTTAACCACGTGATGAAAACTCTCTCAGGGATATTTCCCTTTCAGAAACTTGCCATGTTATTGCCCGAAACAGTGTGTTAGCACTTTTAACTTTATCCCAATACCAATTTTGGTCTTGTTTCAAGACTTGCTTCTATTTAATTCATTTTTAGCTTCAACATCAGCCATTCTTTAATATCCGTTTTTTCTACCTCTATAAATTCCCACAGTTTGTGATCTATGGCATCGTCGACCTAACGTATTTCAAACCCAAAACTCGGGGAAACCTTGCTAACACCTGTTGTCTTTATTTAAACACTCATTGCTAAACATTAGCCATTGCGCTACGCAAGCATCCCATAATGCATTTTCAGACAGTCTGAAATCAATTTTGGTTAATCTGTAGAAGTTTACTTGGATCGGCGCCACGCTCGCAAAGGCCCATTGTTAGCAATGAGTCTTTAACGCAAACTGAAGGCTGGGAGTTTCTCACACTGGGCACCAATGTGAATACACTAGATTTTACAAGTTTCGTTTAACAGTCATAGATTCTTTGAATTTGAGTTATCAAAATTCAATATAAACCATTGAATAATCTTTGCGATGCGTGCTTGGCTTAGGATATAAATAAAGGATAAAGTCTCGTTTTTTCAGTTGGCCTAGCCTAAACCTGGTTAACAAAGTTTATTTGTTAAAGACAAAAAACTCTCAACACCGTTACAGAAAGAGAGAATATCAGCTGTTGAAGGAAATGAAGGTGCAAGGAAGAATATTTTTGAGAATATGAGAAACGAGGAATCAGCGGATTTTTTCTTATAGTCTATAAAATTTCAAATTTCGACTTTATCGATGAGCCTGTCTTGCCAAGATAAGAAACGCTGATTTTTAAAACTGTAAAAGAATGTTACGTGGTAGAGGGAGATTTAAAAAAGGACAAAGCATATTATCATTTGCCGCCAATAGAATATTGGGGTCTCTTCTTTGAAAATCTAGACGTAATTGTAAATTCTATTAAAAATCGGTTTGACCACTCCAGATTGAACGTTTTCATTGACACTTTTTCATTAAAAGTGTTATATTCCTGAAAAGAATTTGAAATCAGATTTTAAAAAATAATACCCAACCTTTTAAAATTTCTTAATATTTCGTTTTTAGCTGGAAGTTCTTCTGTTGATATATTTTGTTAAACTGTGTTTAATTTATTTCTCTCCTCCAGTTTATTTTGGTTTCATATTTGGTGTGAAGAAATTTTGATTACTCGCTGCACTATAAGGATTTTTCTAAACTTTGCAAGAAAGTTTCTATTTCTTGTCAACATTAAAGTAGATAAACCGAAGAAGCATAGTGTTGAAATAAAGCTGGAAAATATTGCCTCAAATTTTCTTTCAGTCAAAATATAATATGCAAAATCTAAAGAGCATTATACGGAAAGTTTGAAAACTTGTAACGGAATTGACCGCAAAAATCGTTCCGGATAATACGTTACCCCCAAGGTCATCAACCACGGTATATACATAAATAAATATATAAATATACATCATACATCATTCATTTTGTGACCCAGGTTATAAAATGGCAGCCTCATAAAGGCTGATGTGGACCTGCCCGTCCCTTACATGTGAACCGATCAAATCCCTTTATTAAAATTTTATCTTCGTGTCGTCATTAAATCAATATCATGAGCAATAACTTAATGAAAACTTCTAGGTAGAGTAAAATCTTGCTCTTTTTCCGAACCTGAGGACAACAATTTTGTACGAATTTTTCACAATAAGACTGTTAGTTGAATTGGAGAATTAGGTTAATCTTCCATTTTTGCTTGTTTGTGCCCACAGAGAGGTTTGTCGCATGTACTATAAAATACAACTTGAATAGAGTGATATAGGTGCAATACAAACACATGAACAATATACATTAAGTTTTAAAGAATAATTAAATAATGTTCAATTCTTTCTGTTGTCAATGATTGTCATAATTGTAATTAAATCTTTCAACAGAGATGGCGCTACGAAATTGGACCTTGGGGGGGGGGGGTGGGTCTAAGAATCAGGTTTAGTGACATATGCGAACCCAGCAAGGTTGGGTCCGACGCGGAAGAATATTTTTGAAATTGAGCCTTCTTGAATGGCTAGAAATGCATTTCCAAGACCAAAATTAAACAAATTACTACACCGCTAAGAAAAGACAATTCGACGATTCTCAGCAAATATTGGTTATTGTATTTTAGGAAACATTTTTGAGGGGAGGAGTCATGGTAAAACTCTAGTGACAGACGTTTGGGAAAGAAAGAAAGGGTGACCTTTGGTTCAGAGTGCACATCGATGTGAATAACAAGAAGCTGTTGTATTGATTGAGAAATGACGAACTTCTTGTCTTGAGTATTTTCAGTAGGTCATGCTAACATAACCAAAATGCAAACATTGCAATGATACGGAAAGCTATAAAATGAACTGATGCAAAAAAAAACAAATAATAGAAATATACCTAAACAAGCTAGTAAATAGATCAAATAAAATCAAGCAGTATTAAACAGTTTATTATCTTTTTATATCATACTCTGTTTTCAAAATTACTAAAAAAGACGGTCAGAAGATTTTTGTCTCTGAAAAAGTCTCTCCAGTGGCGCCGTGCCTGTCTCAGGAATACTTTTGTGTGCATGTAATTTTAACTGATAAATGTCATATCTAGATTTCATGGTTTTTCATAATAATTGCTATTGAAAAACTATCTGACCCGCCATAAGTGCATTTAAATATCTAGAGAAAACTTATAATTTTATCTTTTTAAACTAAAAAAGCACCAGGGGAATTCACTAGAGAAATACAACCTGATACTTGTGCCAATGGTTCCTAAGTGACACATCCAAGTTTGCCAATTGTAAAGGCTCCATACTCAGTAGAGCCTCCTGTGTCTCCTAGTCTCACTTCAGTGATAGGAAGTCTATTTTTATCCGTGACGAAGCCCTCATCAAAGCGCATTACATTGTCATTAGCGTCACAATTGCAGAGAGTTCCAGCTTTTGCGCACGTACCAGTTATGCCACACTCACAGCCTGAAAGAGATGCATTTTCTTGTTTTGATTATATGCTTTTATGTATTCCTAACAGATTTACATTTTCCGCTTACGAACGGTTCCTACAATGGCTACAAAATGCTTCAACCATCATAAAGTTACATCTTTAGCACCCTGTGCGATATATGCACTTTTACACTAGTCTCACACAATCTCCTTCTTGCCAACATTGTTGTTTTATCCAAACATATACCGGCATTTACAAATCCATAGACCTTCCGAAATATAGCCTTCATTGTTGATTATCAAAAATTAAATTCAGGTATTGTTTGTACTAATTAGATATTGAAGACCTTTTAGGTTTGAAACTTCCCTAAATCGACAACTTCTTGGCATAACCAACAATAAAAATGCGAGAGCCTATGATACTAGATGCGATTAGACATGAAACCAACTTAATCTTATATCCTTTTAGAAACCTTGCAACACAACAGAGAGAGATACATATTTTGTTTCCGTATAAATATCTTGCAATATTTTCAATGCCACAAACCTCGCCCGTTTGCTGGGCCACCTCCAATGTGGTCGATACGCTTTCCCTTCCTATCAACAAGATAACCAACGTAAACGTTATAGAACAGCACCATATTGTGACAGTCAATTCGGGTAAACTGCCTGCAACTTTGTGACAAGTCAACGAATCTTATGATGTTTTGCAGCTGATTTTTGTACAGTATTTTTTGCCTAAAAACAGTTGAAGGGTTTGTTAAATTCAGTCCAAATGGAGATCTTCAAGCGTTTCCACTCATGCCTAAAATTGATTTGATCACTAACCAATAAAATTATGTTGTTTTAATTTTATCATACAGGCTTCCCTTTGATCAGTTATTGATTTACGGTGATGCACATAAAAACACTTTTGCTCTATGTTTGCTGAAGCACCAACTCTGTAAGCAGCAAATCTTACTTTGTGTGCTGCAACACTAACCTTGTGTGCGCTGCTACAGAGATTTGTGTGCTGCAGTTATACTTGGTGATCATGCAAATAAATTTGTGTGCAGCAACCGTGCACTTTTGCATGTGAAATTAATTTTGTAACCGCTTTTGCTTTTGTGTGCGTGCAAAACTTAATACATGCCGCATGTCCCTAATGGGCCATCGTAGTTATCACCATACCGTATCGAAGCATACCTTAATCTGAGCATGCGTAGTTAAAATAAAGTGGTTAGAATAAATAAAGAGACCCTATCAACTTTCTGGCGCTCACAGCGGACGCAAAATCGAGACCACTTGACATGCTCAGCTTTGGGCGCTACTCCCGCGCGCACAAAAAATGTCAAGTGGAAATCGGCCTTTATTGGAAATGAGCTGTCATAGAAAAACCATTATTTGTAAAGTGAACCATTATTTTTAGCATCCGTCTTATAGCTCAAGGCATTCACTTTAATCAGTAAGAAGGAACAATGCGAATCGAGCAGAATTAAATGATACAGTAGAAACAAGAAATGACTCAAAAAATGATATATTAAAATGAAGTTTAATGATATTGCGCCCATGCATACAAGGATTTTTCAGAGCTCACTGTAAATACTTTGCGAAGGACATATTGATAAAGGCTCGTAAGAATTATCTCCAGTCAATACCTCTACGCTATTCAGCTGAAAAAGGAATACTTTCTTCATATGCTGGAAGGTGATTCTTGCTCCAGCAACAGAAATGGATGCATGCTCAAAGTTGAAAACAATTTAAATTTTTCTCTTGGCCATGCTTGATGTTTTTCAGAAGAAATTTGAATTTCATTTTTGTCAATATTTAATTATGACAATTCTTGCCACTATTTCACAACGGTAGAAGATTTTTTTCTTGCGAAGGGAAGCTAATGACAAGGAAATTAGAAGATCTTAAACTTTAAGCTCTTAAAAGTAAAAATTGGTATTTCGATGCGTCATGTAAATATATACTTACTTAAACAAATCAGGCCTTTCGTATCCATTGACCGATATCTTCCTTTCACTGTTATGATCAAACACTACCTTAATTGACCCGTTGTCTTTGATACATTTTACTTCCACAGGATGTCCCACTTTGTCGGGATGTACCAAAAAGATGCCTTCTTCCGTGTCACTTTGTTTCAACGCATCGCAGCATGAGCGGAAAGCAACTAAAAAATGATAAGAAAGCAATTTTAATAAAATTCAAGTTTTCCGTTCATAAGCCCAGAAGCTTGCAATTTTTGGCCAATGCATAGCAAAGTTTACTGAGTCAAATATTTTTGTCGAAAGATAATCATTGGTGTAATTGTATCTAAATGCAAACAACATTGCTAAAATTAAGCCGTAATTTGCAATATTTTGAACCTTTTCTCCAGATCGATTCTGTGGCAACCTCTATCCCTTTTTCACTTCGCTGAACACTTCTGCAGCTCGGATTTCTGTCACAGGCAAAGAAAGACTCGTCTAAGCTTAAAGAATCTGATGAAGCCGCCTCTAAAGACTTTACAGAATCATGACGATAAAAGAACGAATCTGCAAGTGCAAAAGACAAGAAAATAAAGATTGTAAGAGTCAGGAGTAGTGTGTTGCCCTCCATTTGTAGCCAATGAAGCCTTAACATGCCTTAAGTCGTTATAATCAGCTTTAATGTTGATATTTTGAAAAAGTCCTTTTTATTCGTTTGATCGGCGTCATTAATGAATTATGAACTAAGGTAAGAAAACCCTTCCTTAATTCACAGATATACTCGCTGCCGGTAATTAGATATCGACGGGGTTTCTCGACTTCTCATGAATAGAAATATTGCCTCATATCGTTATAAATACTATAACAGAAAAATTGTTATGAAAAGAGATTTTTAGAAGTCAGTCTAGTAACCATGAGAAATGAGTAACCATGCAAAACTTCGTGTTATAAAACAAACATTGAAGAGAAAGCAGCTGTAATCGGCCTAAACAGCCACTGTTTAATAAGATGTGTGGATTCAATGTCGCAGTGAATATTCAAGTGGTGAGAATATAATTATCAACAAAGCGTCATATAAAATGAAAAAAGGAAATTGTGATTTCCACAACAAAATAATAAACATCTGAAAACATCTTCTGTATTAAAAATGCCTTTACAGTTTTTAGCAGTCCTTCAAGTTCATCATCATTACTGACATAGAGTTTCAGGTCATCCATATAAAACAGATGATTTGTCTTCTTATTCCCGATCTTGTATCCATACCCAATATCATTCAGGAGTTGGGACAACGGTACAAGTGCCATGCGGAACAGAAGAGGGGAGAGAGAGTCACCCTGGAAAATTCCACTTTTTATGTGCATACCATTAGCATTATCCGTTTGAGTGGGAAAGAGTAAGGTTAGTTTCCCACAGCTTCATAGATGTTCTAAGAAAGTTAACTAGCACAGGGAAGACTTTGAAAGTTTCTAGACAATGTAAAATCCAGGAATGGGGAACACTGTCAAAAGCTTTTTTGTAATCTATCCAAGCAGTACTCAGGTGTTTGTGTTTGGTTTTGGCATTTTCTAGTATCATTTTATTAATTAGCAATTGATCTTTGCAACCATACGATCCTTTCCTACAGTCTTTTTGTTCAATTGGAAATATTTTGTGATCTTCCAGATGTGCGTATGTTCTTTCAGTGAGTATAGAGGTTATAAGTTTGTAGGTTGTTGACAGGCAGGTTATTGGGCGGTAGTTTTTGCGTTTGCAGTTTCATTATTTTTCGCGAGAAGATAAGTAGTACCTTGGCAAAACCATTTAGGTGTTGTCGTTTGGTCTGTCATTAATTTATTGAAGTTTAATGCTAATTTTGAATGTGCTGAGTGTTGAGTGTGAAGCCAGAAGTTTGGGATTTGGTGATTTCTTGTGATTTCCACTTGTGAGACTTTCTAAGAGCTTTTTGTATTTCTTCCACTTTTATTTCTCCCCATTCCTGTTCGGGGATATTATTCGTGTTGCTTTCGAAGATGTTCAGCCATTCAGAGTTCTCATTATGCCTTTTCTCTTTTCCCCAGATCCCCCAGAATTCACAAATTTGTCCTTCTGACGGTATTTCATCTAGAGTCATATCTTATTTTCCGATCTCTCGGTAGAACTTTTTAGGGTCTGTTTCAAAGATTTTGTTCTGTCTATAGAATTTATTCCGTTTAATGTACCTCCGTAGTCGCTGAGCCTTAACTTGTAGTTTTTGCTTTAGTTCTTCCTTAATAGCTGGTACTTGGTCTTTGCTTTTTATCTTATACTTTTGCAGAACTTTTCTAGCCTTACCAGATTTTATTTCTTTATCCTCCTGAAGCTCTTCTAGAAGAGAAATTTCCTTTCTATGGTTCTCGATTTCTTTATCAATTTTTACTTGCCATTTCGGTTTACTAGGCTTACATACAATTCTTTTCTTTCTCTTAGGTTTGACACCACATCTTTTTTGGATTACTTTTCCTGTTGCATATATAAGTTCGTTTAGTTCTGTAAGGTTTGGGTCGGTTTCCTCACATAGTTGTTTTAGGGCTTCGTTTCCGACCTCAATTATATTTCTGTATTTGTTGGTATGTCGAATTTTCAATAAAGACTCTCGCTCATTAATGATAGCATGCTGGATAAGAGATAATTCTTCCAAAATATCCGTTCTCATCTTTACAACTTCCTCTTGGTTCAACTTTCCTTTCTGTTCTTCATCATTCTCCAGACCATGTTCAGGAGCATTCTCAACAGCGTTAGGCACAACAACATTCTCAGCACCGTCCTCGACTTCCTCAACGTCCTCTACTCGTTCTTCTGGCTCGTTTTCTCGGGTATCATTCACAACAGTTTCATTGATTTGTGCGCTTTCAACTTCAGTCAGTATTTTGCTGCGCATAATAAATCTCCTCTGATTTGCTACAATCCTTGACAAATGTCCTTTGAACACCTGCGACCAATGAAAGATTTTGAAGAAATAAAGGTTTCCGGCTGTAAGATACAGAAATATCCCCCCTCCCCCCAAAAACAATGTTGGCTGAAAGCCTATTACTTACCCTAGGTGACATTGGACGACTTTCAAACTGTTGTTATTCAACATTGTTTCAAGGGGGAGAGGGGGATGCTACTGAAGTTTTGCAAAATTTCAGCTTGGTGTACCAAGACTTTTGGCAAGGATTGTAGTTTATTTGAATATAATCCTTCAATGTTGTCACTCTCACTGTTGCGTGAGCACCATGTAACAAAAGTGTCCTCAGTGTTGTTTGTTTGAGGTTTTTCAAGTGCGTTGTGAAAAAAATACATTACATCCTTGTATTCTTCTCTACTCCATCTTTTTCTTTTTTCTTTTTGTTGTCGTCTTTCATTGTTCTACTTGGGTTGAGATTATGTAATGTTTTATATATTTCTGTAAGAAGCAGTTGCAGATTTTTATCATGGATAGACGTCGAGTTGTCTTTTTCAAGAAGATTTTGAAAGCTTGATTCATAGTCATCATAGGCAAGACGCAAAGACTTTTCATGAATTCTATTTATTCTGTTGTTCATCTGTCGATCACAAAACATCCAAATTAAAGGGCAGTAGCTAAATTGTGATAAAATGAAGACGTGCATGGTCTGTTTCACTTTTCTATCATCCATGTAGTTGGAGATTCGGGATACAGCATGTAGCTTTTGGCTGGCCTTTTTGCATATCGATTGTACGTGTCCTTTGAACGACAAATTATTATCAATACTTATTCCAAGAAGTTTTTGTTCTTTACTTGGTTTAATTATCGTTTCATCTATTTTCAGAGATGTGTCATTGCTGCCTTTACCAAAATTTATAAGATGGCATTTATCCCCATTCAGTTTCATATAATTATTTTTAAACCATTCTCTCAAAATAACTGCGTCTTGTTCTAGTGTTTTAATAGCCTGCTTAATGTCTTGGTGGATGACATATAGCGTTGTGTCATCAGCATAATTGCATATTTGGCTATTTGATATAAACATAAACATGTCATTTATGTATATATTGAACAAGAGAGGTCCCAAAACTGATCCTTGTGGCACACTTACCCTGGATGCAACAGTCATACATCCAACTCTATTAAAAGACTACCTTTTCTTATCAGTATGTTAATGTTTACACCAAAAAGCAACGCACGAATTAACCATCATAATAGCCAAAGACCGAGATGCAACTTTTTGTTTTGGGGGGGGGGAGGGGCAGCTCTGATAAATAAGCGTAACAACAGCCATATTTTACAAAGCAAAAATATCTTAATTATGCTACATAGGCATTTTTTGGGGGCAAAGACTCAGGTATCTCGGTCCTTGATAACGGCGATATGAAACAGAACGCCAGACACTGAAAGACACCTTTTGCAGTGCAATGCGGAAATCAGTATGCTTCACTGCTTCACTACAGAGTTATCCCTCTAGCGTACTCTATACACCTCATTGGTTTGCATTTACATAACAAAAATCGAGCCCTCAACCGAACCCAGACTAGTTTGTCTAGTGTAACCAGGGCTTTCACGCGGAAGTGGAATTGAGATGACTGCTCAATGGTGTCGAGTGACGATTGTGTATCAAAAATATAATAACATTTAATAGTAATAACTTCATAGACTTGTGTGTATTTGGTATTGAAGAAAGGCAGCAAGTTTGCCATTTGTGGCTTCATCGACTGTTTTGCAGACTTAACTGTTATAGTTTATCTGCTTTAGTCTATCACTGCGGCTGAAATTGAGAATTTGCTTTTATACGAATCATTGACTGATTGTTATACGAGCAGGCCATTTATTTTGGTGATGTTTTTTTTCGTTCAACTTCTTGGCTGGTAGGTCAACGAGAGAGACAGTTGCAAGGTAGAAGATGTTATGTAGTATCATTTGCTAGCTCACCAAAATTTGTGGGATCGTAGCAATTGCTGTCGGTCACGTCCATCATGGGAATAAAATGGAAATGGCATCCCATTTTGGGCCTAGTCCTGTTAACCTTAGGCTGTACTGTGAATCTTACCAAAGGAATAGAAGGTAAGCAGTGACTCTGTTGTTGCGCAAAGCAACATTGCCTTTATTGCAAATTTTTTAGTCATTCGGTGTATGGGACTAGGTAGTGTCTTTTTCTGAAAAACTCTCAGTCTGTTTGTATCTACAGGTTTCTCCGTGACACGTGAAGAATAACTACAAAAAGCCTCTAGATTAAAAATTGGCATAGATTAAAATTTTAAGTAAATAATATATACTGAACTTTCTTTAAAAAATTTCATCTCTAAGTTTAAAAACCCCTCTGGAAGATTGAAATGTTTTACATGGATTTTCTCAAGTGAAAATAGTGGCAGCAGGCCTTCCTGAGAAAAGATTAGCGATATGAGGAGTTGTTTGTGAAGTTATTCGAAATATGATATCTAGCTTCGCATCTCAATAGGAAAATTGTATAGGAAAGTCGATCAACGATATGTGATTTGCCTAGATAATGACCGTTAGAAAATCGATGATAACGATGCCATATAGATTTTGCCAAAACAAAGGATTATCGGGAGACGGTATGGTTTTTGCACTACCCTGAAAGACCCCTGGAAAGTTTTCCTCATTTCCAGTGAAATTTCGTGTGGCAAGGACCAGAGAAGCGTTCGCCCTGCAATCGAAGGATTTGAAAATGAAATTAATCCCGAGGAAATCAAGAATCATATTGATAACTGTGATAATAGGGGAATAAATAAGTTTTGTAGCTAGATATAAGGTCAAGGGAAAATTAAATTCTCAAAGCAAAAGATTTTGAAAAAGCTCTTTTGTTTTGAAAATAATAGGAGGGCCATGATGTATAAAAAATGAGTTTCAATTTGAGATTGTGTATCAGTGACATACTATTGTATTTTTTCATCATCATGATTTATGCTTTTTTATTTATAGACTGTCATTTCTTTTCAGTTCCTGTTTCATTGCCTGAGCTTGAACATTGGAGGATAGTCAAAAATGGCACTAGTTCTTCAGTTCGCAATAATGTAAGTATAAACAAGTCACCATGAAAAACTACACAAAAATATTTCAGGGCAAGGGGACATGGTATGGTAATAATCGTTATTATTTTAGCAGGAAACAAGTAGAAACGACTAGGAAAAATATAGGAAACAAGTAGGAAACAAGTAGGGAACGGGTAGGGAACGGGTAGGGAACGGGTAGGGAACGGGTAGGGAACGGGTAGGGAACGGGTAGGGAACGGGTAGGGAACGGGTAGGGAACGGATAGGGAACTGGTAGGGAACGGATAGGGAACTGGTAGGGAACGGATAGTGAACTGGTAGGAACAAGTAGAAACAACTATGAAATAAGCAGAAATTGGTAGGAATAATTTTAACTGCGGCAGCAATTTTAATTTACTCCTGACTTCAACTGTTTAGAGACTTACAAAAACACAATGGGGGCTTTGGGGCTAGGCCCCCTCTCCCTAAACATTCAAACATTGTTCAAGAAGATTTTCAACCTGAACAGCTGATTTTTTTCGTATATTGGAGTTAGTTTCTGTTATCTGTTGTTTTCGCTAAACGATAAAACAAAGAAAACCACTGTGTTTTGGTAACCTGATCAGAGACAAGAGCGATCGCGGAGGAGAACGATATGACGGAACACGTAGGCCAGCGCGACGAAGATGACCATGCAGCAGTGTACCCTGGGTACCAATCTCACTCCTACTTTAACTAGAGTGAGTCTGGTACCCAGGGTAGCTACAGGATGACCCACGCCGGTTTATCCGTTGGTTTGAATATGGAAGCTTACCCAGATATTTTTTACCTTTTTGTCAGCAATGACGATGAAACTGCACTTAGTTTAGATGAAGTCTCTGATGACAAAAATTGCGATTAGATGTGGGAGGCTGGGTATATTGAATTGAAAAAATTATTCAAAATTTTCTATTTCTCACTGGAATACGTAGAACGGACGTAATGCCATTTCGGAAATTTTCGGCCTGATCATTCCCCAATGAAACGGAATTGGGCCATATGGCAACAAACAAGTCTCTTTAATTATTTTTTACTAATCTTACAGGTCATAAAATTAAATTTTGCAGAAAAATAAAAGAAACCATCCTAGAAAGGATTGAAGCACCCGTATCTCGGAAAGCCCTACAAATGTCCTCATCTACACTCAGATTCGAATTCTGCATCAAAAACTACCCTAGAAAAAGTAGGTCTCGTAAAGTTTCCTTCCAGGTGGTAATGCTCCTCCTCCAGCCACTGGACTACATTATTTCCCTTCATACGATGCATAGCATGTAACTATGAAAATTGTTTCTTTAGCTGGCTTAAGCTCTCTTTATTTTTATTTTTTTTCAATTTACTGAGAGTTAAATTTAATTTCTGGAAGTGTTTATCTGACATGTTGCTGTTGTAATGTTGGCCTTTTGGGTTGATAAATCTAGGGATTAAGGAATGATGTGAATAGCTACCACTTTACCTGAATAGATATCATTAGAATATCTTCTTTCTGATGTGTTGTTACCACTGACCTAAAAAAAGACTGGATCGAGCTTCTCCAGCCCAGAGTTGAATCCACATAGCAGCGTCCATCTTGAGACCTCGCCGTGTTGTATGAGACTAGAGTTCAATCATATTGGTTTTAGTTCAACTTGATTTTTCATAGCAAAATTCAAAGCAACCGTTGAAACAAAAACTTGCAGCATTCGTAAGTGGTGTTAAACATTTTTGCCGTGGTATTAAGCTTATGTAACGGAGAATCCACTGTTCACTTATTTTCCTAGGCTTGTTTCCTCTTAGAATATTTAGGAATTTAATGATTAATGCACAATTTAAAGCGCAGCATTGTGTGTGCACCATTTTAACAAATGGCAGCCAAAGCTTTAGGCGCGAGAGGTCTCAAGATGGAGAAATTCGATCGCTTCCTTTGTAGACAAGGCTACATTGGCGGTAGGTGCCACCTCAGGGTGGAAAAAATTAAATGGATATTTTCAGGTAGCTATTGGTCAGGTTACTTGGAAAAGTGATGGTGAACCGGGAATTGTTGGGGTTTACGGGGAAAATACGGGGGTTAAAGTTGGTCATATTAGCATAACATCTCTGCGGAGGAGCCACTGTTTTGTTTACGACTTCAGAGCATGGCAAGTGCTTGTTAATATAAAAAAGTAATCTAGAAGGAGTCTTTTAGAGCCTCTTCTTTAAATTCCGACATATTGCTACAATTAGAGTCGTCACGTGACCAATTTTTACCCCTTACCATATTTGGAAGGTGAGCCTTTTCTAACAGAAATTTTTTTTGTTTAATACTCTTAAATGTTACAATAATGTACAAATCAGCAAGATTATTCTACAACCGAGCTGTTGTTAATAGATACCCTGAATAACTTTGAGTACTTAACTATGTGTAGAATAATGGTTGCGAAGACATGATAATTTATTAGGTCCGTTTGATTTCATGCGCATTTGGTTATTTCGTGATGACTCCACATCTCCTTCAGATGCTGGGGAACTTTTTTCGCAATTCATTGCTTGAAAATATTTGTACAAATAGCAACACAAATATGTAACGCAATGAACTCAAGAAATCACGGAAATACGTAGCAGAACAAAAAGACCCGTGTGCATCATTACCAAGAAATAATTGTTTTGCTCTAAGCGTCATTTTCAGTATGTAAGTTGTTATTTTTGCTCTGAGAATTGGATACTCTGTGTACCTTTAAAGTATTGAGGAGGTCCTCTTTTATTTATATTTTTAAACATGCAAGGCCTAAGCTGTATTGTTCATTACCCGAGCAAAGATTGTCTGTACAGTATTATTAAAGATTTGTCTGACATCAATAAAGATAAAATTTATGCTGCAAAGACTACTCGTTTACGACTTGGTGGCAAAAATCTCCACGAAGAACAATGCAGCTCCATTCCTGACGAGGTTGATCCAATTAAGCACGGAGTTCACTTAGAACCTTGTTATAAAAAATTTACAAAGATCCTGTCCAATGAGAAACTCCTCGCAGAAACTAGCACTGAAGCTATTCAGCGTCTACAAACACTAAAGACTGCAGCTACTCAGAGACCAGATGTTTATCCCCCGGTGTGTTATTTTTGCCAAAAGTACCGGGTAAAGAGGCAACAGAAACATCATGTACCAATAACGATCACGACGAAGCAGGCCGAACTAACGTAAAAGAAGCTGCTGAAGCCAATATCGATCAAAACATTTATTATGAAATTAAAGATGTTGATCTCATAGCTAAAGAATTTTAATACCATGAATTCTGCTACAAAGAGTTTACAAGGAAAAAGAAACGCTTTAACTCGGCATCCATCGAAAAAAGTTGTTGTACGCTCTCCATCCTCAGACATCGACATCTTGGTAATTTTATTAAGTATTATTAAAGAGCAAAGTCAATATATCTCGATTTTGGAGTTGGTTTGAATAGAAAAGGACTATTTTTGTCTGATATTGAGATGGAAGATGGTTTGAAGAAGTGTGAGATAAGCTTTCATGCATTCACGGGGAATGACACCCGTACGGGAATGACTATGTGTCATCTTTTTTCCGCAAAGGGAAATCAGAATGTTGGGAGGTGGTCTAGAAGAACAACAGATTTGTTAACACATTTTCGCTACTTGGGCAGTTATGGGAACTTGATGAGCAAATATTTGTTAACCTTGAAGAATATTGTCAATGATGTGAGGAAAAAATTATTTGACAAGAAGTATGTAAATCAAGGCAAAGCCATAGACATTTCACTCTTGCCTCCATGTCAATCATCACTGAGGCTACACATATTGCGATCAAACATCATTGCAAAGATTTGGAAGTCGTCGGGTGAAAGGTTCATAAATTTGACAGATCTTTCTACTTTTGGCTGGAAAGGGAATCTGATTATAGACTGGCAACGACAAGCATTTCCAGACGAACTGACTGACTTGTTCCTGGATCTTGAAGAAGACGTGACCTTCGGAGATGATAAAGAAAGTGAAAATGAAACCTAAAATGGATAAACAATGACAAATGCAGATATCTTTGCCTTAACTTGCATCTTTTAACATTCAAGAGTATTAAACAAAATAATACGTGATACAAAAAAAGAACAATGGTATTCTGTTAAAAAAGCTCACCTTCCAAATATGGTAAGGGGTAAAAATTGGTCACGTGACTACTCTTATTGTAGCAATATGTCGGAATTTGAAAAAGAGGCTCTAAAAGACTCCCTCTAGATCATTTTTTTATGATAACAAGCACTTGCCATGCTCTGAAGTCGTAAACAAAACAGTGGCTCCTCCGCAGAGATGTTATGCTAATATGACCAACTTTAACCCCCGTAGTTACCCCTTAAACCCCAACCATTCCCCGTTCACCATCACTTTTCCAAGTAACCTGACCAATAGCTACCTGAAAATATCCATTTGAATTTCTCCGCCCTGAGGTGGCACCTACCGCCACTGTAAAAAAACTTTAGGCTTCACTCAAAAACGCCGTGTGACCCTTCTGGTTATTCTTATTCTTACCAAAACGACAGGGGTGTGCACTCCTAAGATAGTTTTTGTGAACCGACTTTAAAAAAAAGCTTAAAATGATACCCGGCTTTAAAATTTTTGTATTCACTCAAAACTTTATTTCTACTGTATAGATAAATTTATGAAGGCAGGAATTCACGGAAATGCTCAAAGACTGTCTCAAAAATCATCCTTTAAACATAACTATATACACACTTGACAGTAAATTATCAAGAAAGATGGCCAGTTTCTGGTTTTCCATATTCTTCCAATAAATACAGCTAGTATGATAATGTAGAAGTTTTATGTAGAATGTAGAAGACTAAAAAGAAACTTGGAATATTTACATGATAAGGCAAATACATATATGATCTTTATAGGGGCTCATGTTAAAAATTTGTTTGGGGGTGTAATTTGCTGGAATCAAGACAATGTAAATTTTGACAATTTTGTAACAGAAGTTTGTTCTCACATTTGTACATTTGTACTCAAATTATCCAACTTGTTGGGGAGATGAGATGCAGCAAG